GAAAATAGGTTAACATAAAGGGGTTAACTCAACTTATAAGCCTCTGACAGCCGTGAGGAACTGTCAAGCTTGTCCAACTCTTCCTTGCCTGTTGTCTGCCTGTTTCAGCTTATTCTCCACTTCATCCCCACCTCGTTCTCCACCTCGTTCCCAGCTGGCCGAGTCTAACACAATGTAGTCTCTTTCATGGACTGATCGTCACATGGGCGCTGTAATCATGGAAACGAAACACATACGTGTAGTATCTTGACTTACACTAAGAATACATGTATCAATTATTGTAACATATAATAATAAAATATATCCCATCACTCCTCCTCATATTCCACATCCTCTCCAGTCTAGTCTGAAGGTCTTTTGTCTTACATGGGCGTCACATATCCTGCCTTCCTCTCTCATGCTGTGTCATGATAGTTGACTTTCTAAGTCTGTTGTTCGTCATCATTCAGACTTCCAACTGGCTGACATTGATTTGACATAAACATGTGGCGCAGGTTCTGTGCTGAACACGCAAACAATTTATATGTGCACGCTGTCCTGAATATTATCTTTCAGTGACCGTGAATTCTATACACCCATCATTCTTCCCCTGGGGTTATAAATCCCCTGTTTAGGTGAACACATTAAGTGAGCACATGGTGGGCCCACAAAACGTAACAGCATCCCTGCACATATGGGCATGATTTCCCACAGTCCAAACTCACATTTTGGCTGATCATGGAAACAATATAATTACATTTCATTATAGCAAATGTCATTGTTCACAACTTATTTTATACACATGAAAACATACACTGAAAAACCTGTGACACAAACATACAAGAAATAGGCATATTTTAGCAGTTCCCTAACTGAGATACTGAATACTCACAAAGAACTATTTCAAGCAGAATGTGCAGACAAATTAGGAAAAGGTAGTATAGACTAAGCTTAACTCCCTAACCTAAGTATACAAGATTAAAATTAATATTTTCTCTTACCTGGGAACTTCCCATCAATCGCCAAAACAGAATACGACCGTAAAATTTACCTTTTAGGTCGATCTGTGTTTGTTTGCCGGCAGGCTGCGATTAATAACGGGAATTCCACAGGCTCGAAGTATAAGTATCAATCTATTGTCCAAATTAATTTCCTCCCTTTCCTCGGTTCTACCCAACCCTCAAGATGATGGCTTAAGCTCCGCCTCTGAGGTAACTATCAGATCAACTTGGCTAACCAGTGACCTGTCACTCACAGTGAACGGCCTACAGTACGACCTTGACCAAGATAAAACATTCCTAATTGCCAAACACCTGTTCTCCCCAGAATTACACTGACGTGTTAAACTTTAAACTTCTCGTCGCCTCAATGTCTAGAGTTCGCTCAACTCGTGTTAGGTAATCTTTATGACCTACGGTCCAGCTCAGGTGTGATGCTAAGTTCCCCGTTCGCTGGCCTCTACAGTGTGGTCAGGAGATAACATTCTGACACTGGCATGAGAATAGAATTCCTAGCTACAGTGTAAAGTTTTAGGTAATATTACCCAAGGTTGGGTCGCTTTGTCTGGACTAAGGACTGGAAACATTTAAATCAATTCGGTTTAAAGTAACATTTGGTTTAAGGGCATAGTCTCTTGTCTCTCAATAACCAGAAGAACTTATTACAAGTACTAACTTCTGGAATCACTGAGATCGTTTCGTGACAAGAGTCGGCTACTGGAACTGCCGCAGATAGGACACATTTAATGGAGAGAAAGAGCCTGGCGTACAACTCACTATATTCAGTATGAGAATGGAGGTGGAGGCGGTAACGGCAACTGTCCAATGACTTGAAAACAGCACAGCCCGGCATGTAATTGTAACATACTCACAGAACACGTTTCGGAAAACTGAGACCCGTGTGCTGCAGGCAGAGTCGCGTGCACCACAAGCTAATATTCAAAGCAAGCTCATTTCTGGGATTTTCTGTCCACGATATTCAGGTGTGCAAGGTAACGAGCAGTTTGGTAGATTGGCTGCTGCCGCTCCTCTGAAGGCTAAGCTACTATATGATAAACTAGATGTGATAAAGGCTCTATGGGATCAAATGGGCAGTGCAGAAGAACAGATAGGGATTCCATAGACTACTTCAAAAGGGGTTGTGAAGAGGTTCTTCAAAATATTCAACATCAAAGGGCAAACAGAAGCTGACTTTATTCAGGCTGCAAATGGTACTGTTAGCATATTGTTTCTTCTTTGTAGAAAGAAGACGGAGAACGTTTGGGAACGTGCCGAGTACAGTGATTTAATTCTTAATTCAATCATTCATTCATTATTGACACTGTAGTTTAATCTGTTGTGTTGTCTTCACCTTGCTATGTGTTTACTATGTTTCTTCAGCGTAAGCTCTTTATGGAGTTGGTGCTGTAGATTCTCCTCAGAAGGCACACAGTCGTTTGCTGTTAATGAATATTTTTAAATTGCATGTTCTTTGCAACTTTCCATCCTTCAAACGGTAGTGTTATGCTTGGGAATGTGGGGATGAGTGGCGTCGTGTGAAATCCTTCTCTCCATAGCAGATAGCCTAGGAAGTTTTTAGAGAGCATGTCTTGCCCATGCAACATGATCCTCAGCTCAACCTGCCTTTTTTTTTCTTCACAGGAAAGGTAACATTAATATTCAGGTATAAGCTAACTGCACTACAGATTAGGACCTCACATTCTGCAAGGGCTTCAATAAATTTCTATTTTTGTTCACAAATACAATTTATTTTAACAGGGCTTTTAAAAGATTGTCGATTATGTAATATTGTGTGTGTTATTGTGCAGTCACATTATCTATTATCTCTGTTTACCAAAAATTAAACAACTGTTCATTTCCACAATCCCTACTTTTTAGAGGGGTATGTAGTTTTCTGAGATTAGCTGGTGCAGCTTACAACAGTAGGGGCCTCAGAGCTTTGTAAAGCTCAGGGACTTATCAAGTAATCTAAACCCGGTCCTGATCAATATGTTTAATGAATATGCCGCATTACAACAACGTTGGTAAACGAGGTAAGGAGAGACGCCTAGTCTTGAACAGACATATGCAGCTCATTCTGAAGCTAGTAGTTAGACCCATACTTACCCAGGATGGAACCGGGGACTCCACCGTGAGCCCAGCAGTCTACTCATTTGACCAGCCCCTCCTCCTGGGAAAACTATCAAGGAAATTAAGCTTTCCTCGTCTACAACTAAAGTGGAAAAAAAAAAAAGGGGGGGGGGGGGGGGTGTCCATGTCGAAACTGTCAATCGTGTAACCTCCTATTGCTAGAAATGTTTTGGTAGGTGTGGACGTCATGAAAACCACACAGAATAGAAACATGGCTGGAAAACTGAACCTCGTTCAACCGTTAGGTTAAATTAGAGCACCCAAATACAACCGGATGGGACTAAAAAATAACAACAACAAAAAGCGTGCCATAATATATGATGTTACTTATATCTGTAAAATGCTAGCTTTGCCTGAGCTTTTCTATGTTTAACTTCTGTAGTATATCTTCCACGTCAGGTGTATGTTTACAAAGATAATCACACTGTTTGTCCACAATGATAAGCATGACGATGAGAATGATGTTGATCTCTTTCTGCAGCCAGCAGCCAGAGTTCCAGGCGGCTCTAGAGTGTGCCATGACACGCACCAGGTCCTGCATGCCGATAGCTTACAGGGGCTATCTGCCGGAACCCATCAGGATGGCTCAGTTTGTGTCCACTTTGTGCAGCACTGACTACAGTAAGTGACCACACCAGCTCATCCTAATCGTCATCATCATCACCACCATCAACATCACCACCATCAACATCACCACCATCAACATCACCATCATAAACACAAGCATTGTCATCATCATCACCACCATCGACGTCATTGTCCTCATTGCCATCCTCCTCTCCATCATCTATAACTTATAACGTGTATTAAGCGTTGTGTTTTGTTAATACGGCTGATGACTTCCCATGCGAGCTCAGTCTCCAATACAGCTGCTGTGATCAAAATTAGTACGGATGTACGAACCCTGAAGCTCCGGCGAGGATTGGTATAGTGCCTTAAATACAGGGTCTCTAAAAGTTTTTTGTGCCAGAATTTAAATACCTCATTTCATTTCTGGTTGATTTTGAAATCCTGATTTTAAATATCATAATTAAATTAAGTCATTGGCTTTAGGTTTTTTTTTTCTGACTTTTTTTTAAAAACACGATTTTACTTTACAGTAATACAAACAATGTATGATTTTTTTTTTTTAAATCCCAAGAGTGAACGGCTAGTCGTCTATTTAAGCTTTTTAAAAAAAAAATTTGCATCGTTGGTTAATATATTTTTTACCGTAAAATGATAGAAAAATTATATACAAATTTTACATATAGTGTTTTAAAAAGAAACATTTGAACCTTTTCCGTCCTTACTCTTGTAGTCAATTGATATCTCTTATCTCAGTCCGGCAGTAATCAGCAAGCACTAAAGGGCTCCAATTGCCGTGATACTTTGTCTCTGTAGCAGCAATGTCCTGATGAAACCGTTCACCAAGCTCATCACTGACAGCTCCACAGTTTGACCTACAGAAATCCAGATAAAAATTTTAAAAGAAAATGAATTGTCAAAGATATGCTGCAGCGAAGACTCTCATATTTCAGAAGGAGATTTTCTATAATCTAATTGTGAATACCAGAGCTGTTGTGTCCACCACAGACGTCAATGCTAGCCATGCTTCTTTTCCCTTGCCATACAACACGCAAAGAAACTTCTAATCGTGAAGAAAATTTCAAATTCGTGGACCAACATATACTCCCTCTCTAATTTCAGCGTCACTCAGTGTTGCAAATTTTCTGATGAAATATTTGAAAGCATCATCTGTTTTCTCCATGGCCTTGAGAAAGTTTGTCAGTAGACCTAACTTAATGTGCAAGAGTGGCAACAAAATCTTGCTGGTATCGACAAATGCCAGGATTGTGACGTTTTTACTTCAATGACCGCCTGATCCTCCTAGTGTCTTCTGATGTTCACAGAGAAGCAGGCAGTACCTGGTATATCAACTCTGTAGTCCAAGCAAAAGAGCCACTATTTTTTAATCACTACAACGTGAATAGAGATGGTGATTGTAGTTTATACACTTCAAAAGCTGCCTAACGTTTTAATAAGTTTTTTTTTTTTTTCATGTTAACTAGGTGACTAACTGAAATTAATGGGAATACATTACCATTATTAATCAAAACAACTTTAAGACTCGTTTTGGATGAATCAATGAAAAGCCTCTGATCTTCCAGTTTGTAATTAATTTTGGGGGCTGCCATTAGTCCAGGATTGTTGTGGCATGCAGAGAAGTCACCTTCTTTGGAAAAACAAATATTAAGCTGTTTCTTCCGATTCCTTTACACATAAATTCTAACATCTTCAGCCAGAAGATTCCAGTGTTGCAATCTGGAACTCAAAATCTCCGCTTTGTTATTAGGTCAATTCATATCTCTTACATGATCGTTTAGTTTACTTTGGGTTATTAGGTGTGGTCAGGTTAATGTAGTTCACCCACAATCTGTGTTGCTTGGTTGGTAGTTCAAGGCCACCAGTGTCCTCTTCTTCATCAATGGAAGGACTTGAAAATAATTCTTGCATTTTGGATAGTGGTAGGTCATCGTCGTGTGGTACCGGACATATTGCAGAAGAAATATTAGGATACTCAAAAGTCCCTTTCTTCTTCTGTCCCTTTCTTCTTCTGTGATATGCCTTTTACAATTGCAGGGACAATGTAAATGTAAAAGTTGATGAGATGATCAGTGGGCTCTCTCCAAATCATTGGGACAGCCAAATACATAGCTCGCCTTTTGCCAGTCAACCACAGTTTAAGATTGACTGCACAATAATTGCAGCCTACGTGTGACGCGCAGCTCTTTTCTTGATTTTCTATTCTGCAGTCAAAATACAGACTGAATGCATTTTTAATCACTTTGGTTGTATCTCGTTTTTGTGAGAGACATGTCACACCACCACATACAGTTAACGGTATTGGTTACACACACCCTAGGAATTTCTAACTATAAAGTTATTAATAAAGACAAAGATAGTAGCTAATAATGCAACATTTTGTCAGAGATCAGATATTTATACACAAAAGTGGTGTAATCAAAGGTAGGCCTGAATCATCAACTTCGGGTTACAGTTTTATTGGTCATTAGAAAAATGTAAACAACCAACAACAGTTGGGTCATGTATGTCATTTGGGCCCTAATTAAGTAAACTAGTAGCGTAAGTCTTGAAAACTAGAGCGGGGGAATGAAAGAACGGATTATCTGGCTACAAAAGCGAAAAGTTACGGGAACACTCGTGTTGGACAAGGAAGATATTATGAAGACCATATATGAACGACTTTTGGCAGGAGACACGAGATTGAAGGAAATAACCATGGCAAGAATGTGTAAACGAGGAATTAAGTGTGGATCCGGCAAGGAGGGACGGATGAGGGGAAGAGTTCGGCGTGTGTATTTTCAATGTGCTACGGGAACAGCATCTACAACTTACGTCATTTGCTGTGGGAGACGGAGCACCTATGGGTATGTCCGGTGTGTTGGGATGTTGATTCTCAAATCAGTAATCAGTCATCAGTAATTGATTAATAGAACCAATCACATTATTTAATGTCATTTTCCTTTTTCAGCACATCAAAAATGGTTAAGATCAGCTATTTTCATTTCAGGTACATTTTGGTTGTTGACTAGTGTTTTCTAACATCGCTAAACTGTGAACAATCTGTTAGTAAAAATGTAATTGGTAACATATTTATTATCACTGTCAGCATCATCATCATAGACAACATGTGTTTGAACATGTGCTCCAGCTAGATTTATCAGCCTGGAATAGGAAGGTGGTTTGGAGGGCATCGGAACCTCTCTCTGTTTTCTCCCTGACCTTTCCACTTTTCTGCTGTCACAATGTACACCAGTACATAATGCACACTAGTTTTCTCCTTCTCATGACAGGACCTTTCTCTTTTCTTTCCACCTTTCTCTTTCCACTTTCCCGCTTTCACAGTGTACACCAGTTTTCTCTTTCTCATTAAGGGACCTCTCTCTTCTCTTTCCACTTTCCCGCTTTCATAGTGTCCACAAGTTTTCTCCTTCTCATGACGGGAGCATTATCTTTTCTTTCCACATTCCCGCCGTCACCTTCTCACGAGGGGACCTCCCTCTTCTCTTTCCACTTCCCGCTTTCACAGTGTACACCAGTTTTCTCCTTCTCGTGACGGGACCACATAATCCAGATCTCCTTCTCATTTAGGTCATCAGTTTTCTGTTTTCATATGTTTATGCTTGTGTTATTGTGCGTATTAAAGTCTTCAAGGGTCGTGCTTATATAGCGTATAGCAGTCCACAGCGTACAGCACAGGTCAACGTATATTTTTGGCTATATTTATGATTACATGCGTTTTTGTTGGATGTAAATGCGTATAGTTCCTGTGCCACCTAGATATTATGTGGCGTGTATTTACGCAAGATTTTCTCTGTGTGTTTCAGAA